CTTCATTTTTCATAAATAAGTTCATAGCTATAGCTCTGTCTAACCACAGTTGGATAATAGCTCTAAGCTTGTATATTTTCATTATCTGCCAAAGAAGTTTCAAGCTCTACTCCAATATATGGTTTCTTATTGTTTTTCCATCCCCCCCCCCCAATTTTAAACTAGTGAATAGCAGCAGTTTAAATGTATGAACCACCTGCCCTCCTTCTCCCCCTTCCCTCTTCCCTCTCTCCCTGCCCACCCCCTCAGGATTCAGCATGTTTCTGCTGAATGCTATCTTGATAGAAGCTTTAGATATCATGTCTATAAGACCAAGCTGGGAAAACTGATTTTTCTGAGTACACTGAAGATGTTACCTAGCCGGATAACGAAACATTTGCAAGAAAACAACCAACCTCAGAGAACCCCAAGGACTCCACAAACTGATTTTTAACTGAAAACTGTTACACCTGGATTTTTGTGCCAGAAACTGCAGCAGAAGCTTCAAGACACTTCTGGTGCAGCTTATAGCTCTACTCTAGGCCAACACTTTCCTTGTAGAATTGGAGCCTTTTTTCTTCCATTGGGCTTTTGATATCAGAATTCAATTTCGAGAACTCTCATCCCCTGAACTTCACTTTCCATTCTTTGAGAGTACTTCATTATTTATGAAATGGTTGTTATCTTGTAATAGAAATTCAATCCTTATGAGCTTTAAGTGCGTTAAAAAACAAACAAAAAAACCACCAAATCGTAATTGTTCTTTATTTGAGAGAATCCATTTAGCATGTTGAAATATTCTGCAGACAAAGCACAGCCCTGTATATCTGGAACTCTTTTCACTACAGATTCAAGAACCACTTTATTAACCTCTCTATATTTGTTTCCCTTTCTCAGCAATGTGAATAATAATGCTAACTTTCTTTCCCAGGAAGAGCTTTGTAAGGATGTGGTCATTAGTGTTCCAGTGCACTTAACAAGATATATAGTTCTGTTTAAGTTTTAAGTGTTACTAATTATCTTGGACCATAGTCATTAATTTCTGCATCCTTTTCTTATAGCCCTTAATACCAGAGTCTAGTTTTGAAAAAGTTGGTGATCGGGGCATCTTTCCTTCCCTTTCTTATACAGTAAATGATGGCTCTTCAATGTGTTGGTTTGTAATTATTTGTTTTTCTGTTTGCTTGCAAAAGAGTGAAGTAGTACTAGAACTGAAAGCAATGATTATTTCCTTCAGTGCAGTTTGCCACAACCTGTTTGAAGGTCTCTGGTGTACAATACTGTGGGTTTCATCCATCTAACCTGTTGTTAACATTTAATCTGTTTTTTAACAAACTGCAAGTAAGAAATATCAAACTTCTAATCCAAAAAAGAAGCCTAGTTTGAGCCTTTAAATTAGCTTAAGAGTTCTGTAGCTGTTTTGCTTTAATCTTTGGTTACGAAACAAGCAAGAGGTAAGTGCCTCACTGGAAATTATTTTTACATATACTAAATATGATGGTAGCAGAGAGCAGGCTTTATTCCTCCTGCTTCCCTAACAGTGAAAGGGCAGTTTGTAATGTGTGTCCATGAGTAAGTGCTCAGGGTCTCCAGGGTATCAGAACTGGTGTCTAGAAGATGCTTCAGAGCACGGGGAGTGCCTGTCTGCAGCATCTTAAAAGAGCCATGACTTTTTCTGGGATTGCAGAGTTGCCCCTGGCAGCTGCCTTATAATTCTGGGGAAAGGCACTAACTGTATAATGTGTTGCTATATTCATGGTCTTGTATGCTCTGAAGCACCTTTTAGGGAGGGAATCAGAAGTGCTGTACAACCTTGGTAAATGTGGTCAAAATTACTAACTCTTCATATGCTTAGAAGCTTTCGGTATGTGGGATTTTGCCTAAAAGGAAATATTTGTATGTCTGGATACACATTCTAAAGTAGTCTCTCAGTAAGTGGAAAATGGAGAGCAGAGACTGCCATTTTCCCTCCCATTGTGGTGCAATGTATGCACAATTAACACATGAAGAGGCCCTCATTTCTTGTTGGGGAAAGAAAGGCTTGCATGATTATAGCGACAGACTTTAAAAAAAGTCTCATTTTTACCTTATTTTTGCAAACTGTGGAAATGGCAAAGTGCATACTTTGACTTCAGACTGCTTGTGATATTGAATGCTTTTGTATACAATTCACCTTCCCTCCAAATAATAACAATATGCTCAGTCACATCTACACACTAATTTTAAGGGTTTTTTTCTTCATAGAGGAGCATTTCATTGTGACAGATTTAATTATTAATCTGAAGGGGTATGGCTGACAGATTTACTTCCCTTACATACTATTCATTAAAAACACAACTCTTCCTCAATAGCTAATTACAGATCACTCATAAATGCCGCCCAGAGTCACTTTATGTGAGTTGAGCAGCTATATAAATACAATAAATAAATAAAAATGCATGTATTAGAACCTCAAAATCATTTGTAAAAAATACAGCTTTGGAAATGGGGTATTTAAAATGGAAAAGTGACAGGTGGGTAAAGGATTAAGGATTTGCCAGCTTCTTTTTCTCAGTGTTGTTGAATTAACAAACAAAACTACAGACTGTTCACATGATACACTTAACCTGCTTAATAAATCAATCCCTTTTCTGGGTTTGCACAATATTTTGAACTATATGCTAACCAGAAATGCTGGATTTCTACAACATGCTGAGCCATAAGAAAGTTACCAAGGTTTGTATTAACTAAATTTGGCATATTGTGCAAAACCTTTGTTACATGTCCTGATCTGCTTAAGCATGCTGTGTGAATATAGCCATAATGTGTCTTGTTTGGTTTTGACTGTGATTTATGTTTATAAACCATAATTTACTGCTAGGGTTACATTGGAATGAGGCCATTATGCCTTGCTTAACAAGCTGTGGTTAAAACAATGGCTTAGTGCATTGCATGATATTTCAATCCTCTTAAATATAAATGTCTGTATGTATTATATAGTTAACCTTTTACTGTTACGTAGAGGTAGAATAATAATAATATCATTTATGTAGCACTTTCAAGAAATTCAAAGTAGCTCATCTGTATTGCTCACCACACCACAAAGTAAATCGTAGTATTATCTTCTATACTAGAAATGCTGGAACAGTGCCAACAGAAAATGGGCTTCCCTTAGATAAACCCATAATGTGTTCATAACAAGAGTGAGATTCAAATTAGGGACTTACGGCCCATATTTTGTTTCAGGCACACACACAAAAATTCACACATATTCACTGTGAGTTGGAGTGGAACAGTTTAAACAGTGTCCTGAAGTTCAGCTGTACCCCTCTCTCCTTCTGTCTTTCCCCACTGCCCAGATGAATGATGCTGAGAAAAAATTAAGAGCACAATTAAGTTTTCTCATTGGCTTTATCCACTGCCATTCAGTGGGTGGGCTGAGCATGACTGAAAGAAAAATGTGTGCCTCAGAGAGAGAGCTAACATTGCTAGGTGGCTTTGGACCAACCAACCTCTTTTTCACTGCTCATCATTTCAGTGGGAAAGATGGTGTGTTGATACAGTGCCGTCCACTGCAAACTGCAGTGACACCTGAGTGATGGCACACATGCAGTGATGTCACACACAAATGCCACCATTATGTACTTGTGTCCAAATGCTCTTTGTGTTAAGGGGAGAGGGGAAAAGGAAATGTTAAGTTGTCTGCTCTTCATATATGTATATGAATGCTCATAAAAAGATTTTTGGATCTCCCTTTAGGCGAGCAAATGGATATAGATGGAAATCAGGTCAGGCTGGCCTAGGCACACAACCACCAATGTTACAAAACAAAGAAAATGTTGTAAAGGTAAGACTATTGTGATGTTCAAAAATTTTTATTTAAATGTCTGCAATGAATAATGCTTTTTGTAAGATAGCACTGTGGTCAAAACACTTGAAAATGATTAATTGAAACTTTTCTTGACTCTCTGATACTCCTGTTACAAAGTGGGCCTGGATGGCAGTTTTTTTTGTCCATATAGAAAGGCTTGTTTTGGATGAATATTTCATTCCAACTGTCCTCCAGCTATCTAGGAAAAAAGGTTTACAAAATCTAAGCCACAGGAGTTTCCCATTTGAGTTTTTTTTGACGTCCCACCCAGATGGGTACCACTGATTCCATTAATGTGTTTATTTTCTCTTTTATTAGTGTTTATTTTCATTTGGTCAGTCAAGATATATTTGCTGTAGTTCCCCAGGTTTTCTGAAAATAGACATTCAGGCATGGGTATTTGATTTTAAACAGCCAAAGTAACAGATGAAAGAATTGTCCAGTTGTTCTACAATTTAATTTTTCCCTTTAGTATTTCCTTTTGCACCTCATGCCCCCCCATACCTGATGTGTTTACAGATCTTTTAAATTGTTGTTTTAAGTGTTAGTAGTGATGTGTTTCACAATCCCTGAATATATTCCATTTCTTGTGTATGCATTTGATCATTTGATCATTTGATCATCTTTGATAATTTCTTAAAGGAACCTTATTTTCTTGAAAAGCTTCCTTGATACTGTTTCTTATTATTCTTGGTGACTTATAGCTTTTTCTCATCTGTGGAATTATCTTCTAGCTGAGTAGTTCTTAAATTTTGAAGACCACAGAGCATCAAATATATTTTTTTTAAATGAGGAACCCTTATGACTGTAATTTTAAATAAGATGACTATGAAATAAAGCATGCTTTAATTTATTGTATTAATTTAATACTGCTGTTTGCAATTCCTTAAACTAGACTTTTCTTGGGAACACATTGCACCTGAGGATGACAGCCACAAGATCCTGAGAGAAGGTGCAGCTGATTTAAGAAGTTGCAGACAAGGGCTATGTGAGCATTCTCACATGATCTAAATCACCTTTTTGTCTTCAAATTTGAAGCATGGTACAGCCCTATGAGGGACAGTGTTAGGAAACAAAGGTGAAGTTGTGGAACAATTGGAGAAATCACAGTTTAATTGAATTTTCCTTCCTTCCTTCCACCCACCCAC